TAGCTTTTGGGTCTGATAAGGTCAGTGAAATCCCCTCAGGATTTATCCTGAGATCCTGTACCTCAGATTGTAGACCCTTTGTCAGTGTCAGCCTTGTGGATGAGTTACAGCCATTGCTTGGCCAATGTGCTCTCTGAAAGTCTGAGAGAATATTTTCTCTCCGTGTGACTCCTTATAACCCGTTTTTATTTCTTTAATCACTTATTCCTATACTATCTGATTTGTCAGCCTTCCTAAGCTTTACTGAGATATGTGATTTACAGTAACTTATATGTGTTTAAGTTGTACCCTCAGGAACCCTTAACACACCCAAGGTGAACATATGTGTTACCCCCAGAAGCTCCTTTCTCCACCTTCATTCCCTCCCTGTTCTGGGGAATCACTGATTTGCTTTATTTAGATTCCATTTTTGGGGGCCGGGGAGATGGCTCTGTAGAATAAGCGCTTCCCCGGCAAATGCAAGGGCCTGAGTTCAATTCCCGGTTCTGCCAACCCCCCCCCCCACCAAAAACAAACAAACAAAATAAATTCCGTTTCTATTTTTGGAATTTTATTTAAACAGATCCATGCATACTTGTTTAGCTTCTTTTGGAACAATTTTGGGTTTTCTTCATGTGGCCTGTATCAATTCTTCCTTCCTTTGTAGTGCTACGAGTATTTCTTTGTATGGTTAAACCTAGCGTTTAGCCACCTGGTAATTGGCATGTGGTCAGTGTGCACATTATAGTTGGGTAGCTCTTCTCTCATTTTGTAGAACATACTGGTAATTTTGTAAAACTTAAGTTGAGTATGGCTGCAATAATCTACATGTCATCAATGTGTTATTTGTTGGCATTTTACACAGCGAAAGCAGCCAGGTAAGCAAACAGAATCTCGCCCAGACTAAAAAAGTACAATTCTTGCTAGGTCAATGATGTAAAATCAAACACATGCGGATAATTTCCAGTTTGAGAAAGTCTGGGACCAGTATGCTATTGAAAAAGGACTGCATATTTCTGCAGTGTCTGTTTTAGTATAGCTTATGTCTGTTTTGCCTGATCAAGATATTTCTTCTTGTCAGTGGACTCCAGAAAAATTGACCGGGAGGGGAAAATCCCAGATGGTACTTTGGAGAAGCTGAAGAGCCTGGGGCTTTTTGGGATGCAGGTCCCAGAAGAATATGGTAAGCCCGGGAAATGGGCCTGGCCAGTCCCCCATTTCAGGAGGTGCCGTGTTCTTGTCGCAAAGAGGTCACTACTCAGGAAGGGAAGCCTCCAGATGCAGGCCGCCTGCCGCCTGCAGAGAAGTGTGGCTCCGGGCTGTGCAGCTTACGCCACCCTCAGGGGGGCTGTCTCTGCCGTGGTCTGCTGAGGGTCTAGAGCTGTGGGTATGGTGTGGGTAGTGAGTACTTTCGGCTGCTTCTGGTCCTTTTTAGAAGACAGACTGTTTAGGGTGGTTCCTGGTGACACCCTGATGTGGGTCTTGTCCAGCAAGTCCCATTGGTTGGGAGCTTTCCTTGCTCTCTTGTTACTGTACCTGGTCTGTCTCTTGGGCTAGAGTGAGGTTCCAGGGATGGGGTGGAGGGGGCTGGGACAGGCCTGCAGAGTAATTCCCCTATGGCACTGCCCAGAGCTGGGCCAGGTTGAGACAGGAGAAATAGACTGATGAGCAAGTTCCCGGTATCCTTCTGTAGTGTATCAATCAGGTGGAATGTGCTTGTGTGTGTCCTTCCTATGCCTTCCTCGCTGTCCTGTGAGAACCTCCCCTACGCCCAAACACATGTGAGAGTTTGTCCTGACTTTGCGGAAGACCTTACCTGACCCACCAGGCTGCTGGCCCTATGGAGGCAGCACAGTGTTTGTGTCTGCAGCCGTAGGCACACTGTGTGTCCACATGAAAACTGCTGAAAGCTGTGCCTGCCAAGTGGTACCAGGATGGGGGCTTTTGCACTGCAGGGGTGCTATCACCGTTACAGGTAGCTATGCCAAGTGCTGAGTATCAGAAGAAATGGGAGACTGAGAGTTAGGTCGGCTCCACTCTGCTGTTAGCAGCTGAAAAGCAATAACAAGGCAACAGGAAGAGCGTCATTCATAACTGCAAGTTTTGGGAGGCTTTTTAGGGCAGAGAATCCTGAAGCTGGTGGAAGCCACAGTGTTAGAGCGTGTGGGGCCTGGGTCCACTAGTCTCTGGCGCCACGTGTCTCCTTCCTGCTCTTGGCTCTTCCCTGTCTGTCCCTGTGGGATAATGTCCCCCAGGTTCTGCCCCTGCACTTGAGGGGAAAACATCCAGGTTTTTGCAGAGAAAATGCAGAATATGATAGGACCAGCTGGAGCTTCACCTGCATGGATGCTCTCACTCTCCTTACATACAAGGATGTTCAAGGCTGCTGCTGCTGCTGCTGGGGTGTGTGTGTGTGTGTGTGTGTGTGTATGTGTGTGTTGACCTCAACCTGAGGCCTGGGATCAGTTTATCATTTGAGCAGTGAGTCCAAGGCCACCCTTAGTCCTCTCCACTGGGACACACAGCTGTGCCCTGGAGTCCACTGGATACTAGGTTGTGGGGCTCTAGAGACTGCATCTGGCAGAGCTTACCTAAGGCAGTGGTTTGTTGTATGTAGAGGTGACTGTACATTTGTATGTGTTCATATAAAGTGTGAAAGGACATACATAAAAATGCTTTTTGAGTGATAGGATTGTGGACAATTTTTGTTTGCTTTTATTGTGGTTTTTAAAATGGTGATCTGGTATCACTTTATTATTAGGGAAAGTAGTGCGTTGTTCACTGTCTAGGAGGACTTGGGCTGGTGTGCCTGACACTGGGTGTCTCTCCTAGGTGGGCTGGGCCTCTCCAACACCATGAGCACTCGGCTAGGGGAGATCCTTTGCCTGGATGGGTCCATCGCTGTGACCCTGGCGGCGCACCAGGCGTTGGGCCTCAAGGTCAGTTGTCCAGGGTCTCTGTTGGCAGCTGTCTGCAAATGGCAGGAGGGGGAAGCCTTATTTACCCTATGGGAATGGCTCAGGATCTCGGAGGGGAGCAAGCCCAGCCCTGCCCTCCACTGGACCTGTGTGCAGTGGCCTTTGGCTCATGCTGTCCCTTGGCATGGAATCTTCTTCCTGTCCCCAACACCTTTGACCCATCTTTTAAGGCCCAAGTCTGAGGCAGCTCTTCATGCCAGGCTGTCAGAGCTGTTTTCCTGCTGCCTGAACACAAAACAGTGTCTCACCAGGCTCAGAGCTTATCAAGACAAAATATGAAGTGCTGGGGAGATAGCTCAGTGGCTTAAGTGCCTGCCTAGCAAGCACAAGGTCATGAGTTCTATCCCTGGTGCCAAAAAAAAAAAGACAGAATATGAAGCTCTTGGTGTCCTCTCACTGGTGCTACATCTACTCAGTGTAGATTTCAGAGCTGAAAGAACTCTATGCGCAGATCCCTACACTTGTCATTGAGACAAGGTGGGGACTTCTCTGATATGGACTGGACCCTCCTTATGCAGGGTACGATTCTAGCTTTCTTGTGTCTGCACATCTATCCTCCAGATTGCCTGCCTGTGAGGTGTGTCTCTATCTTACAGATCTCAGGGTGGGGGCTCCAGCACAGGGACAGTGCTTGCCCAAGACCACCTCACCTGGTTGGGGAGATGTTAGATGAATGAGATGAACTGAGCCTGGAGCTGACAGCTGTGTGGCTGGGCTTCTGCATTAGTCAAGTTCTTTGTGCTCTATCCAAGGCCGGCAACCCAGAACTCCTGCTGTCTCTGTTTGCATGAAGTAAATGCCAACCCTGAAGGACAGTGTCTCATGAGCAAATTTCAACTATCTTCACCTCCCAGCTTATTTGAGATGTTAGTCTTTGTGTGTTTTCATTTAGGGGATCATCTCGGTCGGCACGGAGGAGCAGAAGGCCAAATACCTGCCTAGGCTGGCCTCTGGGGAGCATGTCGCAGCCTTCTGTCTCACAGAGCCAGCCAGGTCTGTCTCCCTTGGAATGTTACCTGCAGCCTGTCTGCAGGACTGAGGTCTTGTCTGTGTGGAGTGACTGGCTTGTATCTCCTCCCTCCCTGAAATCTTCCAGTCATTCCGTAGACTCTTCTTGCCAGCTGTCTGCCCAGGGAGCCTTACAAATGTGAAACAACCTAAGGGCATGTATCAGCCAGTGTCCGTGGCTTTCCAACCCTGTGCTATGCGGGGTTGTCAGGTTTCAGTTCCCCTCAACAAGCATGTTAACTAGGGGCAGGATCTCATTTCCATGTTAAAAATGGAGGTTCAGTGGGGTTGTGTGATGGGCCTAAGGTCACATAGTTGGATGGAGCAGGCTTGGGGGAGGACTTGGCTACAGATGGCAAGTCTGTTATCTGACCACTCAGATGGGGACCTAAAGTGGTCACCTCCTGGGACACCAAATGTCTCCTCACAGCAGGTCAGATGAGCCCATGAGGAGTTCAGGTTCTCCTGCAGCAGTCTAGACCCAAGTTGTTTGAACCTCTGCCTTTATTGCTTCTGTGGTAACAGCAGAAATGGCCAGATCCAACCTGCCTGTAGTTTGTGTCAGGAGATTTACTGGAATGTGGCCTTCTGATGACAAATAGTCTCTGCAGCCAGAGTCCAAAAGGGCAGATGCCCTGTACCTGGGAAAGCTGAGTGCCTCTCTTGACTCTATTTAAAAAGCTTGCCAGCTCCTGTGCCTAATCATCTCCATTCCCAGGTTCCAGGTCCATCCTCCTTTACTCCCAACTTGCTTTCCCTCCACTGTTTCTCACCCTCTGTAGCAGGAACAATACTGGCTCCATCCACACCAGAGCCACACTGAGTGAAGACAAGACCCACTATGTCCTCAATGGCTCCAAGGTACAACCTCAATGCAACCTCTGACTAAAGCCATTGGGATGGAGCTGGAATTGAGCAGCATCTCCAGGGCCGGTCTGCACTCTCTGCTCAGGTCTGGATCACCAATGGTGGGCTGGCTGAGATTTTCACCGTGTTTGCAAAGACCGAGGTTGTTGATTCCGATGGCTCTATAAAGGACAGAATCACAGCGTTTATAGTAGAAAGAGACTTTGGTGGAGTTACTAACGGGAAGCCAGAAGATAAGTTAGGCCTTCGAGGCTCCAACAGTAAGTGTCATGTATATTTGTGTGTGTGCATGTACATGCTTGCGTGTGGGACAGAGAGAGTAATTGATTCTTGGTGTCTGCCAAGGTAAAATGAGGTTGAAATCCTCTGTTTTTTTTTTTTTTTTTTTCTGTTTTAAATTAAACTTTATTTTAAGATAATCATAGATTCATATGCCTGTTAATGAATAATGGAGACTCCTTGTATGTACTTCCTTCCAGTTACTCTCTTTTTTTAAAAAATATTTTATTTATTTTTGGCAGAACCTGGGATCTAACTCAGGCCCTTGTGCTTGCCAGGGAAGCACTTATTCCACTAAGCCATCTCCCCGGCCCCAATCTAATGCTGGTTTTAATTCAGTATTTTAACAAAATCCAGTCGAGGGTGCTCCCTGGATTTCTCTGGCAATGCCTATGAGCTCCTGGAAAATTAACTCATGAATTGGCATCTGTGGGCTGTGCACCACTCAGGGTGTGGAACTTTGGTGATGCCCATGGGACTGAGGTCAATAAGGTCTGCCTCATATGGGGGCTAGCAGTGGACCCTGTGGTGGCAGGACAGCAGGTGGCTGCGGTCACTGTCCTATGACAGGCTCCCCATCTTTGCCCCCTCAAACATCTGCCTATTCCATGCCTACTTTTCAGAGCCCCTAGAGTACTGGGTGCATAGGATGAGGATATGCTACTTACCGTCTTAGTCTTACTGGTACTTCCATGGGGACTTTACAGTGCTGTGCTCCTTGGGTCTCCTTCTAATCTCAGGTGGGACTACATATGCCCTGGGCACCTTTGCTCCCATCTCTGTATGCCCTGTCTGTTTAGGAACTTTTCCTTCTGGGTGTGGAGTTGTAGTATGCACCTAGCTTGAGCTGCAGATGGAAGGGACAGAGGCCCAGAGTTCTGTCCTGTGTTACTGCGAATAAGCTTGTGTGGTCCTCTGCACTGTAATTTGCTCAGCTGCAGGCAGAGATAGGTATGAGCGGTACATGATGTGCCTATAGCAGTACCTCAGCACCAGCTGCTGCCCTGAGTCTGACCACCATGGCCAGTGCTACCACTGAGGCTTCTTCAGTGTGGCAGCTGAGGGAGAAGAGGTACTGAGACTCTCAGCTCAGGAGAAGGCTGGCATGCTGTAGGAGACAGTAGAGGCAACAGGACTGAGTCCTCTTGCAGGTCTGACAGCTGGTCCCATAAGTCCATGCAGAGTCCTGTGACAGAAGGTCAGGTGGCACAAGGTGAGCCCAGAGGTGGAAGCAGGGTATCACCCTCACCCCTCAGCCTTTGAGCTTGGTCCCGTGGCCAGACTGCAATGACTTCATACATTTCACCCAGCTCTTCTGGCATAAGATGTGGTATTTGGTTTAATGATCAGCAGACCCAGGTCATCACACTTGGACTGGCTCCCTTGAGTCCCAACTTTCCCTGTCCTGAACCCTTTTTTCTGGTGGAGATGGCCAGTAGGTGCCACATTTATGTAATGGAACATGTGAATGGCCCTTGTTTTGGGGAATACTGTGGACACTGCTGCATGCCCCTCACCTTGCTCCTGCTGCTCCTCACATGATTGGTGCCATCTTTGGCACATGTCTAACTGGGGTAACTGCCTGCCTGGCAGCCAGAGCTGACTCAGCAAGGACACTTTCTTCCTCACTATGCTTGAGTGTTGGGCAGCCTGCTACAGGCTGTGGGTTGGCTCACATTGCTGTGGGTTTGTTATCATTGGTGTATGTACCCTCAAGACCTGTGCTCCTGCTGGGATAGCTGCTGCTTTGACCCCTCCTGGCATGGGGGAAGGGCAGGCAGGGCTGCCCTCTTGATGGAGTGTGGGTGGGGCTCACCACTGCTGCCCTGCAGACAGCATGGGGCAAGGTTTTGTTAGGGTTGGGAACTGGGACCAAGAATACAATCCACCTGTGTCCTTTGGGAGTGCTTGTGCATGAGCTTGACTGCTTTCTCCACTCTTTTTGTCTTTTAAACTTCTGCTGAGTTCTCTCTTAGCAGCTGGGCCCATCTGTTATCCTGCTCTCTACCCCCCAGCTCTGTCTCCATCCTCTATGCATTTTACCCATAGCACAGTCCACTGTTGACGTTGTGTGGTTTAGTCAGCCTCCTTGACCCTCCTCCTCAGACATTTGTACCTCTGTGTCTATCCATCCTGATGTCAGATGAATGAATGAATGAATGAATGAATGAATGAATGAATGAATGAATGTTGGGTCTATTCAAGTGCAGAATGGCTTGTATTATTAGATAAAGTCTTACGTTTTCTGTGTTTCAGTTTGTGAAGTCCATTTTGAAAACACCAGGGTGCCTGTTGTAAATGTCCTTGGAGAAGTTGGAGGTGGTTTTAAGGTGAGTTGCCTGCTGAACCCCAAGTGAATGCTGTACAATCTTTCAAGTGGGCTCCAGGCCCCACTTGTCTAATTCTTTCCTAAATTTAGATACCACCTATAATATGGCTGGGTCTCAGGTGTCACCACTTTTATATTCTTGAGTCCTGTTGTCAAGTATCTACAGGAAAGACAGACAGATGTATGCTTTTCGCAGCAGAGAGAGAAAAAAAGTTCATTTTCATTTTACTGGGGCAGCCAGGCTTGGAAGCACATACTGGTAATCCCAGTGCTTTGGAAAGCTGAGGCAAGAAGATCATGAGTTCAAGTCAGTTTGGGCAAATTTTTTTTTTTTGGAACCAGGGATTGAACTCAGGTCCTTGCGCTTGCCAGGGAAGAGCTTATTCCACCGAGCCATCTCCCCGGCCTCAAATAAAATTCCTTTTTTTTTTTTTTTTTAATGTATTTAGTACAGGGTCTACAGAGTCTCACTACACAGATTGGACTCAGTGACCCTCCTGTTTTTTTTTTTTTTTTCTCGAACTGGGGATTGAACTCAGGCCCTTGTGCTTGCCATGCAAGCACTTATTCTTCTGAACTATCTGCCTGGCCCCAAAAATGTTGCCGTTGTGATTGAAAAAAAAAAACCCAGCTTCTTTTAATATGTAAAGGGAAGTTTATTTCTAAAATTCTTCATGATTTCCAGTGACATTGCTGCCAGTAACCTAAATACTAAAAATACGGATACACGTGGTCAAATCCCAAGATCATAAAATAATAATAGGCCAGGTGAGAATTGGCTGGGCTTATGGGAGGTGACAGTGTGGGTTTTCCCCTCTGGAATACTCAGGAAATCTGAAGAGATACAGGTAACGAACGAGAAGGGGCTACTGAATCTTGCTTTGGGGAAGATGAGATCTGGCATGTGGTAGTGAACATTATGAGAAGCATTCTTGTCGAGGAGCTGAGGAGCCATTGGCAGTGTGGGGAAGGCCAGTGCACCAGGGGACAGTCTGGAGGGTCCTCATAGGACCAGGAATAGAGCTATCATGTGATCCAGCTACCTGCTGCTGGCTAGTTGTCTAGGCAGAGGAGACGGAGCCAGTGCGCTGAAAAGCTCAATACCTGTCTTTCTTGCAGCACTGTTAGCAGTAGCCAAGAAATAGAACCCTCTTCGGTGTCTATCATCAGATGAATAAAGTAACAGTGTCTATATATCCCATAGAGTATTATTTAGTCAAAAAAGAGATAGAGCTATTGATTGTAGGCAAGTGGTTGGAATTGGCTGACAGTGTTAAGTGGAATCAGCTAGACAGAAGGACAGTATCACAATCTTTCTTTCTCATGTGTAGAAACTAAAAAATGCAAAAAACAAAAACTTAAACACAAAAGAGGTATCTGTAGGACCTGGGAAGGGAGTTGTGGGAACAGGAAATGGAGCGAGTAGAGGAATGGGTGGGTGTAATCACAGTGTGCACATGCATGGAAGGTTGGGGAGCCCACCAGTCCACGTGATGAATAGGTGTTAATACAGATGTTTGAAAGGCTGGTGAAGGCTGCCAAAGTCAGAGAGAGACTAAGCACAGGGTCCTTTGGGTAGGAGCATACCAGGAAGCGAGGCCCAGAGTCACCGGCTTTTTCTGCTTTTTTTTTTCTTCTTTTTTTACGTGAGATTAACAGTAATTCTGAAACGGCTGAACTGGCCTTTGAAAGAGGGAGTGGGAATCCAAGCAGAAGACGAGAAGAACCTAGTTCCCAGGCAGACTGAAGAGCCAGTGCCATTCTGTGTACTAGGGAGTGGGGAAGGTGGCCTTGGGGATTGTATCTCCCACTGTGGTGTGAGATAGCCAACTCCTGAGGCTTGGGCCTTCTGTCCACCTTCCTTCCTGCCCTGGCCTGTCCTGCCCTTGGGGTTGAAGGGTGTCAGGCCCAGCACTCAGAAGTGCTTTCTGTCTGGGGAACTCTTCCTTGATGATGCCTGCCCAAGGCCCAGCTCTGGGTCTTCTTGGGGAGCTTTGGCTACCTGTCCTCCCTCCTCACACCAAGAGTCCCCTTGGATCCAGGACTCTTGTGCACTGGCCACCTGCAGATCACTGGCTATTTGTACCTGTGCACTCTGGTGGGGCAGGGTAGCCTCCAGGACCCCAGATACTCTGTGGCTGTTAGGTTTTTCAGCAGCACAGTGAAGAGATAGGAAAGATAAAAGAAGTCTTTTTTTACTCCAAAGGCACACAGAGGATCAAGGACAGATGGGAAAATCCCCTTACCTGAGACAAAGAAACTGAGACTTTTATGGGCTTTTGCTCTTGGTGGAATTTGAGGGGCAGTTTTGGTTACCTGTAAGGAGCTGATTGGGGTCTCTCCTGTGTGTGTGGGAAAGGTGAGGGGAAATCGTATCCAGGGCTGGAGTGGGAGAAAAGGAGGAAGTGGTCATTGAGAACATAAGCTGTTGTTTTAAGGACTTCAGCCATGTCAGATGACCATCATAATAATTTAGCAATTCATGCTAGGGCCAGAACCTTATCAGTGGGTCTACGCTCCAAGTGTCTGCATCTGCTGTCCCTGTCTGATTAGTTCAGAAGAAAGGGTGGGAAAAGAGCGGAGTCTCTGACAAGCTGTCAGGTTGTCACAGACACCTGGCCTGGGTGTTGGGCAGACACCAGAGATGGGGCCTTGGGGAGTTCATGCCCGCTAACCCTGAGCTCCTTCCTGAGTGGTTCCTGAGCCCAAGGCCCTGCAGGAACCTCTAATAGCTTATTTGGCTAGCAGTGTGTCCTAGTCAGTGGTCAGTCCATGTCTGCACTCCCTTCCCTAACGGTGAGGGGGACTGGCCAGTGCCTTTGGGATGGTGGCATTGTTGTGTGCGGTAGATGGAAGCACAGTGGGACTGTGCCACCTACTTGTGTGGGGTTGTGCTTTCTCCCAGGAAGGTTCTCTAAGCTCTTCCTTAGTTTTCAAGAACGCTTTTTGGGGAAATAATTCAAGCATGGTGGGGTGCATTCCCTCTGCCTCCATCAGTGTTCTTGGGGTTTCCTTCTATCCCTGCAGGTGGCTGTGGACATCCTCAACAGTGGGCGGTTCAGCCTGGGCAGCATCATGTCTGGAATGCTCAGGAAACTGATTGGTAGGTAAGTCGGGCCAGGAACCCGATGCAGGGCTGTCCTGCCCTGTGGTGTGCCCTCTGTGGCCAGGAGGCTCAGCCTTTCCCTTAGGAGGGCACAAAGAAGGGAGGAGGAGGCCAGGTGCCAGCAGAGGCAAGAAAAGGAGTGCTCTGCTCCCCTCAGGACCCCATCTCCCAGGTGACTGCACTGTGGTGACGAGTAGGGTTGGCCTGGAGTGTAGGCTCTTCAGCCCCAGATCTCCCTTTCATTCCTGTCCATCAGGGTACTGGTAGCTGGGATCCTCCATCCTGTGACCTTAAACAGCCCTGTAACCATGGTTGCTATGGTGACCTTGGAAAGAGCTTCTGGGAAGAGAACCCCTCTGAGCACTTTATGTTTCACAGTTTGAGGCAAAGTGGGCAATGCCAAGGAAGGCTGTGGCTGGTGTACCTCTGTGTGGTGAGGAAACTGAGTCCAGAGAGGGCAGGTGGTTTACCCCAGGACCTCAGGTCTGTGCCCATCTCCTAAAGAGGCTCAGAGTGCCTCCCTGCTGTGCTGCTCAGTGCATGAGCTTCCTGAGGTGTACAGGTCTAGCCTCTACCATAGGAAGAGCCCCCAAGAAGATCCCATGGTCAGCAAGGGGCAGATGCTGGGCCCATCCTGAGGACATGGTGCTTGGTCACAGGTGTAGAAGCATTTGGAGACTTGGGTTTCCAGTGGGCTTTGGGGGCAGCCAGTGCCTGGGAGGGAGGCTGGTGTGTCACGTGGGTGCTCAGAATTCAACTCCATGTGTAGCCATGTGCCCTGAGGCCTAGGCCTGAGTTGCAGCCAGGCTGCCTGTTCTGCCATGTGCATGGGCACCTGTCATGTGATTGGCTGTGCCTGCCCTATCTGATACCTTGTGTGTGCCAGGCTTCAGGTGAGGCCCCTTGTGCCCTGTGTGTGATCTCATCTTTGCAGTGACTGAGGTGGACAGCATTGTCAGGGAGGTGAAACTCTTAGCCTGGGGTTTCTACTGATAAGAACTGGACCAGGTTCTGGTCTGTGTGTGCCCTCACTCCTGCCACTGCCCGCAGGCCCCCAGTGAACATGTTTTCTGCTGTGACCACCAATGCTTAAATGTGGCGGCTCTGGGTTTCAGGGTATCCAGTCTCAGCACATAATGATCAGGGTATTTGAAGGGTGGTGGTGATGTAGTTACGAAATCACTTGGATATGCTGGAAGTTTCCAATTCTTTGCAACAACTCTGCTCTTGTTTAGGTCTGACTGCTGAGTATGCCTGTGAGAGGAAGCAGTTCAACAGAAAGCTCAGTGAATTTGGGTTAATTCAGGTACTGAGGCTGCCTTTCCCCTGTGTGGTCAAGAAATGCGTGCTTGGCGACTGTCTCTGTCCGGGCCTCCCATGCAGTGCTTTGGGAAGAAAACTGCACAAAGCTCATTTGGACAGGGACCCCTTTCATGAAGGCTGGGTTTGATTTTCCTGGGCTGGCAAGGCTTCTGGCTCAGTTGCTTCTCTGCTGGATGGCAGACCTCGGTCTTAGCACATGCACATTGCTTCTTGCTTGTGTTTTCCTCAAACATTCCAGGAGAAGTTTGCGCTGATGGCTCAGAAGGTGTATGCAATGGAGAGCATGTCCTACCTCACTGCAGGGATGCTGGATCACCCAGAGTGTCCTGACTGCTCCATTGAAACAGCCGTGGTGAAGGTAGTCGCAGTACCACCAGAGCTGCCACAAAAGGGGGACACAGGCAGTGGAGGGAACTGGGTGGTGCCCCTTGGACTGACCTCTTCTTGGCTCAGCAGGTATTTAGTTCTGAGAGCGCCTGGCACTGTGTGAGTGAGGCACTGCAGATCCTGGGGGGCGCAGGTTACATGAGGGACCATCCCCATGAGCGCATGCTGCGTGATTCCCGTGCGCTGCTCCTCCTGGAGGTAAGTGACTGCCAGCCATCTTTGTGGCCCCCTTCCCCAAGCTGATGTCCCATCTTCCCTCCTTGTCTTGTTGTTCTGGGAGTGCTGTAGAGACCAGTCCGCCTGTGGGTTGTGTCCTCGCTGGGCCCCCTTATCCCACATGCCCTGCTCTGCACAGGGAGACCTCAAGGCCTGGAGATGCCAGGAAGCTGGTTCAGGTTGCTTCCCAGAGGACCCTTTGCTGTGTGCCTCCCACCTCCTGGAGGGACTGGGAGGTCCAAGCCTGTCCATTTCGAGTCAGGCTTAGAGGAAGGAGTGACCCATGCAAGGATGGCCATGAGAAGTGGTGGATCCTGGTGGGAAGCCAGGGCATCTGGCTACCTCTCCACTTATGTATGTTCCCTGACCTCTAGTCTCAGCCCTGTCCTGGGTGCCCCACCATAAGTGGGCCATGACGTGCACTGACACTTGGCACTGCCAGGGCTGCACAGCAGGGTAATCTTTGACTTCTTCGCTTCTGTTCACAGGGGACTAATGAGATCCTCCGAATGTTCATTGCCCTCACAGGCCTGCAGTATGCCGGACTTATCCTGACCCCAAGGATCAAGTAGGTGCCATTCCTGCTCTCTGAGCACTGTGCTCAGAGCTGAGTGGTAAAGGGCTGCCTGCCCTGCCTGCCCTTGAGCACACTAAGCACTGGAATGAGATAGGATGGTGGGCTGATGTGGTTTTGCTGGGCTCCCTGGAACCCTGGCTGCGTGGAATAGGGCCTTCAGGTCCTAGAAAATCAGATCTTAAGTTTATCCCTCTCTGTCCTGCCCTTAGGGTCACATGTCTTCCCATCTCCACTGGAACTCCGTCTCCCCCTCCCCTAGTAGCCCCTGACTCTGTGTGGTCTGCACATAGGTGCCCAGCGCTGAGATTAGCCCTGCCCCTTCCACCCCTGATCCCAGGTCAGAGCCATCAGATCCCTTCCAGAGCCCAAGCACAGGCTTCTGGAAGCACTTTTCTGGCTCCTTGATTGGGAGCTGGCTGCTCTCTAAACAGGTTGGAAGAGTAGCCCAGAGCCCATTGTGCCCACCTGAGAGAAAGGCACAGAGCTTGGGGACCCTAGAGTCACATGGCTGTGGGGATTTCTGCAGGGAGCTTAAAGGTGGCAGTATGGCTGTAATCATAAAGACCCTCAGTCAGAGATTGTGGGACACTCTGGGCCGAACTGTGGACTTGGGGCTGATGGGCAGTTCTGGAGCTGTGCACCCTAGACTGGGGGTAAGTAGACACAGCGAAGTCATGCCTTCTACAAGTACTGTCTGTCTTGGGATATGACCAAGGGTCTGGGCCCCAATGGGAACCTGGGAGACACCCTGATGCCCCTTCCCATCTGGGTCTTGAGTCCCAGGCTGAGGGTTCCTGGGAGGATGAGACCCCAAGCTTAGTCCTGTTTCTGGTCCACCAGGACAGTGTCACCAAGCTTGAAGAGAATGTGTATTACTTTGGCCGGACTGTGGAGGCACTGCTGCTGCGCTTTGGAAAGGTAAGTGAGTCTGCCAGGCCTGGGTACAGCAGGTCCTCACATGGATGACTGTGAGAAGGGCCTAGAGCAAGACCTTGGACACCAGGCCTAGCTCCAGGAACTGACCTCTGACACTGAGCACACTAAGCACTGGCCTCTGGTGTTAGCCATTTTGCTAGGCCCTGTCCCTGCCTTGACCCCTGCCTGAGGATTGTCCAGAAAGAAGTGAAACTCAGGGCAGCTCTGTGCCTTTTCCTCTGCTAGAGGGACACAGGGAGGGTGAGCCTGCAGAGCTGTGGCCTGTGAGGGTCCTTAGGGCAGGATCAGCTCTTTATGCCTTGCTGTGTTCCTAGACCATTATAGAGGAGCAACTGGTGATGAAACGGGTGGCCAATGTCCTCATCAACCTGTATGGCATGGCGGCTGTGCTGTCCCGGGCCAGCCGCTCCATCTTCATTGGACTCCAGGACCATGACCATGAGGTGAGCAGTCCCATTCCCACCCAGGAAACAAGCTTGGGAATGCTGAGTGACTTGATCAAGTTTGAGTCTGGGCTGCAACAGGGCCATGCTGTGACCTCTGAGCCAGTCTGTGTTGTGTTGTGTGTTAATCAGGCCATGTTAATAAGGCTGGGAGCGGGTGCTTGAGGATAGAGGGTGTAGCTGTGGGCCACAGTGCCTCAGTGGTCACTCAGAGGGATCTCAGGGTGCTCAGAGCTGCATGGGTTTCCTGTGCTGTGGCTATGGAAGGACTACACTTCCCTAGGATAGGATCTCTCCCTTTGGGCACCTGCAGGGTGCCAACTTGCCACATGTGGTGTCCCACACTTGCCTGAGGACATGAGGATTGTGATGTCCACATCAAGGAGGGGGAAAATGAGACTCAGGACACCCTCCCTCCCCCATAGCTTACGTTTTGGGCACAGGGCTGTGACTCCAGGTTGCACTTAGCACCAGGGCTGTGTAGCTGCTGAGTCCAGCCTGATTGTAGCCACGTTGCCCCGCTTGGCAACATTTGTGCCTTTGGAGGCCAGAGTTCAGCTCCAGGGCACTCAGTGACTGTTCCTTCCCGCTGTGGTCTGGCAGGTTCTGTTGGCCAGCACGTTCTGCGCAGAAGCTTATTTCCAGAATCTCTTCACCCTGCAGCAGCTGGACAAGTGTAAGCAGGGCAGCTGGCTGGAGGGCAGTGGGCTGAATCTGGGCTATGCATGAGGAACTATTTATTGCCAGGCCTCGTCTGCTGGATTGCAGGTGTGGGCCAGAGGCCTCCATACAGCCTGGAGCCAGGCGTATGTGCAGCCATGGCCTCGTACCTAATCAGGGGAGTTTACTAAGCACTTCACCTGTCTCTCTCATCCCCCCACACCAGCCGGAATGGGCTCAGATTTTCTGCAGAGGCTTAGACCTTGCCTGGAGAATGTGGAACCTTGTGCTCACCTTTGTCAAGAAGGCTTGGCCTTCCCCACAGCTGCATGGCCACATCATGGAATGTGTGGTGTAGGGTCTCTGTATAATCCATACAGCCATCTGGGATCTGATGCTTGTCCTCAGCCGAGCTGCTCTGCTTCCAGTCAGAGTACAAAGGGCCATCGTGGGTATCTGCGATTCATGTAGCCCTAGGGCCAGTATGAGCACTGGTGTGGCAGGTGGGACTAGGACCTGCTGTGGGGGTGACCAGATGGCTTCTCCCAGGGTGGACTGTTTGCTGAGCAGGCCTCCCCCTCCCCCTACCCATTAGAACTGGGGTTCAGAGGCAAGAAGGTTGAGCCCTTTTACCCAGGATGGAGTCTTAGACCCTTCTTGTTTGTCATGACTGGCTGCCCAGAGTTACTCCTGAGGGGGTGCTGCTTGCAGGAGGGTGACTTTGTCAAAAGTGCCACTAGTGTCCTCACAGTGGTGCAGAAAGAGACCCACTCCCTTTCTTTGCCTTCTCAGATGATCCTGGAAACCTTGATGAGCAGGTTAAGAAAGTGTCGAAGCGCATTCTTGAGAAGCGGACCTACGTCTGTACCCACCCCCTGGCCAGGACAACCTGACACCGGGCCAGCCCTGGGCCTTGAGGCACCAACCTCATCCAATAGCCTCTGCTGAACTGCTGTCCTGTGGGTGCCTGGGGGCCTGCTGCTGCCTGGTTTCCCCCATGGCTGCGCATTAGTCATGGCTTCTTGCAGACACTGAGGGGATGAAAGTGCTGGTGCCTGACGTCAGGTGGCTGTACTAACTTCTGGTCTCCACAGGGCTCAACTGCCACCTCTGGGGAGGAACTTGCAGGGCTCTGTGTAAGGCATGGGCAGCCATCTCCACCAGATCGTATGTTGAAGAAACTGTGAAAGCTGCACCTACCTTGAAACTTCAGCCCGTGTCAACATTATTAACAGGAAAATGTAAAGTGGCACAATTTGTCCACTCTTCTAGCCTTGCCGCACTAGTCACAGTGTCCTCAGAACTAGTCTTTAACTGCTGGGCCTGGTGGTGCACACCTGTGGGAGGCAAAAGCAGGAGGCTCATGAGTTCAAGCCCAGCCCGGGGAACTTAGCACATGCCCAGTCTGAAAGTAGGAAGGGACTGGAGGTGTAGCTCAGTACAAGGGTAAACGTCAGTGTCTGTAGTACGCCTCAGTTCCTCTGCATGGCTAACCCCTGTTTTAAGTCCAGGATTTTTCTCCCTGCGTGGGCAACATAAGAAGAACTTGCCTCAAAAAAATTTAAATTCAGTAGTGTCCAAAAATAAAATATATAGGTAAATATCTGGACATAATAAAACATAGGACAGGTACAGATAACCTCCACAGCATGACAGAACCCCCAGCTACCCATTCCTTTTTTTGTGTACTTGGTACAGGGTCTTACTACGAGCATCAGAATCGTAGTGATCTTCTTGTTTTCAGCCTCTCCAGCACTGGGATCACAGGTGTGCGCCACCACGCCTGGACTCGGTGGCAGGCCCAGCATGCCCTGGGGGCGGGGCTGGCATGGCATGTGGTGCCAGCCCCATGCTTGCCTAAGCAGGCCTCTAGTCTGCTGAGCTATCTTGCCGGGCCAGCAGGATCTTGCTGCGTAGTTCAGCCGAGCCTTAAACTTGCTTTGTATCCCAGGTTGCCCTCAAACTCACAGCAATCCTACTGCTTCAGCCTCACAATTACTGGGATAACAGGTGTGTGCCACAATGCCTGTCACACAGTCCTTTTTTTTAAAGGTGACTTTATTTTGAGACGAGATCTTGCTATGTAGTTCAGTCTGTTCAACTTACATTGTAGCCCAGGCCTCAAACTTAAAACAATCTTCCTACTTCAACTTCTTGAGTGCAAGAACTACAGGCATGTGCCACTGTGCTCAGTGTGCAGCCCCAGTTCCTAACTGGCTTGACGCATAGGCAGCTACCACAGGTAACACTTTGGGGCTCCAGTACAGTAATATTTCAGTTCACAAACTTAATTCCACAATTCTTAGCACAAACCGAATTGGATGAGAACTGAATCAAATTCAGTGGTTAGGTTCAGTGTTGACCTTATGGCGAAATTTGGTTTGTTCTCATCCAATTCAGTTTGTGCCTAGGATTGTGGAAAGAATTTAAGTTTGTGAACTGAGGCACTACTATATCTGATTAAAATACACAAACATTTTAATAGCATTCATTTTCTTACAAGAGCACAGTCTGAGCCCTTTGGTATTTCGTCAAATACACTTATTAATTGTATCTTTGGGCGAAAGACTGATGGGATCATAACTAAGAACAGAGAATGTACACATGTCCAAGTGAAGAATCAAATTAGAGGATCAAAATACCACGATGGCTGATTATGGATTCCTAGCCTCCCTTGCAGAGACAGGAGGCATAGAGCAACTCTGGCATGAAATACAGATATCCAGGCGAGTTGAGAGTGACTGGGTATTGACAGTTCTGTGCAAGCAAGAAGCATATACACAGCAGTGACAACTGTCTAGTCTAAGGAAGTTAATGCAGAAGTGCACATTCACAGTCCTTGGGCTTTATAAAACTGATCGTGTGCTCCAGCTCCTAAGAATGAAGCTCAGCCGGGTGCTTGGAGTCTGCCTGAGGAACACACGTAAGGCAGTGTGGTGGTGGCTCAGGTGAAAGGAAGGGAGTGGGCAATAGAAACCTGCGGACCGTAGAGGCTTGGTGCTGCCAGCCCCATTGAAAGGGGGGCACTAACATGAGACAAAGTGATTTTTCTCTTTCAAAACAAGAGCTGAAAAAGTAAATTCTGGAGAGTTTTGGTAGGGGCAGGATAAAACAGGAATACAGATGAATTTTGGTTTGTTCACCCATAGATTCTAGGTATGATCTTTCCTAATTATCAGGAAAAAACAATCTGCAGTACACACTGCAGGGGAGACCAGTATTTACTGGGTTTGGGTGAAAGATATCAATGAAATGTAAACAAAAATGCCAGTCTCACCTTTGTCCTTGTGCACGCTGGTGCTTCTTTGAAGGCAGGCTTTGTTGTCCAAGTCACACAGAGCCCTTTCTGGGTCCTCGTCACTGTCCAGGAAGTTTATAATTGTAATCCCATGGATAATTATTGGAATCTGGTCAAGTTAATTCCTATCTGCCATGCCCAGTTTTACTCAATGGTGAGAATAAAGGTGTATTTGTAGTTATGGGGAGCCACGGGGTCCTAAGTTCACTCATGATGATGGCTATCTGGAACAAAGGCCTTGACCCAGGGCCCAACCTGGGTTTTACTCATTCTTGAGGAAATGAGTGGCTTGAGGATGAGTGTGAGAATGGTGGGCAGTAGGTGAGTGCTGTGAGCTGGGCTAGGTAGGAGGCCTGCATTCACCTCTGCCATATGCAGAGTAATCTGCAGTACACAGTTGAGATAGTATCTAATGTTTCAGCCCTGATGTGTAATCTGTAAGCCTCAGGAAGTCATAGCCTCTATCTTGAGGCTCAATCACAGCCCACTCCCACTGTGACAACATGGAACATTGGGTCTTTGTCCTCTCAACCTGGCTCACACTAGGGAACAGCAGGTAGGGGTTTTCCTGGAAAACACACCTGCTGTCTTCAAGGACCACCACCAGCCCTTTGGCTAGGCTGATGTACATTGCTTAAAACCAATTAAAGGGATAAGGAAAACTAGCCAACTCTATGTATCAATAAGAGGAAATAGGGCCAGGCTCAGCCAAAATGGAGACAAATGCTCTTTTTTTTTTTTCAAGGAGAGTAGCCCAGGTGGTCCTCCACAAAACCATACTAAGAAAGCTGCAGGAGAAAGAAGGTCATAGGGGACATTTTAGACATTTGTATGAGTGACAGCTTGTGAGGTGTCACCAGATCAATGCATAGTTTGTTCATGTGTTTGATGGTTCGAGGTGGGGTGGATAGTCTAGAACCCATTTTTCTTGAAGCCTCCCCAGAGTAATTAGTTTTTATTTTTCCTATGCGCTCTGTGTCTGAGTTCTGCTGTGAAAGTAAAAAACAGATGTTTGAACTTTTGAGTGTGATTCTCTTCCCTTTAGACACCAGTATTTCAAATTCTGTGAGAGCAGCATCCCAGCCACCACCTCCTTTAGTGCAAATTTGCTCTTGTGCCTGTGTTAATATACTATTTTTAAGGATATTTTGGGAAATGGTGCTAATGGATTGTGCCAGATCAGTCTTTGGAGTTTGTTGAAATGGCATGGAAGGCCCCATCACTTAAGAATATTAGCTGGTATTTGTTATGGAACCTAGTACCAAACTGAATGGAAAACACTGTGCACCAAGGAGTTGGAAGACAACCAACTTTATTATGCTAGTGGGCTAATGGAGGATTGCTCCCAAAGCATCAGCCCAGCGCTGGCTTTGGGCTTAGTTTATATAGGTTTTGCAAACAGAAGATACAAAAGCTTAAAAGTGAATTTTTATTGGGTAGCATAAGTTATTTGTTGTTGAGTAGGAAGTCCTTCAAACAAGTTAGCAAACAATATTTTCGGTGGCGAGAAAATACAGGCTATACAGCTGCGCATGGTCTAATTGAGCTGAGTCAGGTTATCTGGTGTAGTCAAGGCTGAGTGAGTGACCGATGAGCTATGTGGTAAGCTGCATGATCCTATTTTGTCTTAATATGGTATACTACTAGTTGAGTTTTAAATTTAAAAATTTCCATCACATTACCCCCTTTTTCCCGGTTAGAAGATTCTTCTCCTGATGAGAGGAGTTCATAGGTCAGTGTAATCCAGAAAAACAATGAGCAGTGCTTAGCCTCAACACACTTGGAAAGAAAACAGGTCAGAAACTAGACAATATAGGGGCCTAACAGGAGAAATAGATGAGAGTCATCAAGTTCCTAATAGGTCCCCAATGCATGTGGGGAAGAGCTCTAAAGAGCCCCACCAAGAGGACCCAGCTCCTGTTCCTTGAGCCTTTTATTCAAGGTATTTCTGGAGGTGTCAGAAGTTTACTTTAATTATACCAGATTTATTTCCATAATAGCAGCACTCCTAAGAAATGGCAAATACCTCCTTGTTGGGCAGTTAAAAGTCTAAAGCCCTTCTGTTCTGTAAGACAATCATGGCTAAAGAAATCAGTCTGTTCTTAGAGGGTATCAGTAGAATTTAGAACATTGTCAGACTCCTATTATTTGGTTGGTTAATTGTGTATGCCGACTTTGTCCTAGCTCAAAAGAGCCATTGTGCTCAGAGTGAGACTTGCTGCTATTGCTATGCTGGCCAGGGCAGGCAGAAACATAGGGTCATGTTGATGGGACACAGCAAGGAGCAGGGGCCTCAGTCACCTGGGTAGACATTTAAGTCTGATCAGAAACACCATGCCAAAAAGACTCATGTTTTGTTGTACCATGAATACGTGTTAGAACCCATCAGAACACACAAAGTTCCATAATTTACCTTGAGTGGGATGTTGGGCCAGGTTATGGAGGTATGAAGTCAGCTGATACATTGTGGGGAGCCTCCATTTTCCATGAAGCAAGTGGAGTTTCCCATTATTTGGGCTTGGGAGACTTGGAGTGAGTTGGCCAGCAAGTGTATGGTGTTAAACCAAGATGCATTTGTGGTCAGTCCCAACACTCAATAGGATAGGGCAGTGAGTGGCATACAGAGTCAACAATCTTCCCCCCAGTTTGGATCAACTTGTTGGACAGTATGGATCCCACTAATTGTAACAGCTCTGTCTGGAGCAAGTGCAAAGTGGTCTTTGGTTATGTTTATGGTTGTAGAAGGTCTGAGGTTTGTGAAGACCTTAAATGTGGGGATCGGGATAGTGGGGATCCTTTTTTATTTGAATTAACATACCAGAGTCTACCTATGTTGTCTACCTGGGTAACTAACAAGTGACCTGTCACCCAGATACTGAAAAGGATTATAGGTTTCCTTTATGCAGTTTGAGGGGACTAGAGTCTGGGCGAAATGTGGCCTTCCATTATAGAGAGCTTTTTTCCATGCATGATTTACATATGTTCATTCTCTTTCTTAGTCCCATATACATTAACACATTTTCATTTATCACAATACCAGTTCTTTAGATGGTTACAGACCCATTCCTTTGGTTAGTCCTCTGTATTGGGGGTTCTTGCCAACCTGGCAGATATATTTCAGGTTGGCTTGGTATGTTCATTTCCAACTCGGATCACCATATGCCATGTAGTAGTCATTGGTCTTACTGTTGGGAGAGGCATCAAAGTCTAAGACACATTAGGTTTGTAGGGATACCACCTGGTATGAGATTTGGGGTGCCTTCTAGGTGGATCTGAACCTCCCAGTATTCTCCCTTTACATATGTTCCTAGGAGGTTTAGATATGTTACCCCTATAAGAATCATCTCAGACAGTTGAGGGTAGGCAATCCAGTGACCACACCAATGTAGAGAATGAGCAACCTTTTGAGGAGCTCACCAGTCCTCTGGGGTTACAGCCCAGAGTCCAGGA